ATCCCAACTCAAACATCAATCTACTCAAATCGCAGAGATTTTTCATAAGGTTTAAAGGTAATGCAGTTACACCAGCCGACTTAAAATGCAATGGGCACATCAAGATTTGATTTTTAAATTTCTAACTGCAGAAATTAGGATTTATTGGTTTTATTGTTGGCAAGTAGCTTTCCTGGACTAATCAAAGAATTCTGCACACTGTTCATTTGGGATGGACAGTCTATCAAGGCCTCTGTTGACTTAGTTCACAACAAAAAGCCGACGCGTGTACCAGTACTTCCGCTAATTTTTAAATCAATCTGTTCGCACATTACATAGTGTTAGCGAAAATATATCAACCAATTCACAAGATGGATGGCGTGTTCTGACGCTGGACTCCCACCAATTATTTGTTTAATTACTCCATGCCCCATGGTTACTTGCCCTCCTGACATTAGTGTTGTGTAATTCACAAGATGAATAACCTAATTTAATTCTTGACTCCAAAAACCTATTCATTCTTCCAGTTTATGTGCCATGGTTACTTTCCAACAAACAAAACTATTATCTACAAAGCAAGACGCATATCAAAATCTCAATATGGATGCCAAGGCAGACGCGTGCCCCATTTGAGGAACGCCGACTTTTCCATTATCTTCCATGAGATCTCATATCGATATTTTTATGACAGCTTCAGCTCTCATTGTGGAAACCGTTTTCTCACAGTGTACATTCCGTAAAGATCACCCCACACACACCGCAGACTTGAAGCATCATCGGGCCCCAGGTGTATGCCTCTCCGTGTCCCATTCACTCCCCACTGTTTGACTGAGCCAAGCCAGCTTAAGTGCCCAGCCCATATTGTGTCCTTTCATACGTTGTGTAGCGAAACATTGAGCCAAGGAGAAACGGACTTAATAAAAGGAAGGTCATTGTCCGATTGTGGACTTGGTATTCTGGGACCCTTTATGTACGGTGGCGGATACTGGTTGCATTCCATTTGCATATGGTAAAGACCGGTTGTTACGCAAACGCTCGGTGTCATCGATGTATGTACATACTGTATTTTGCTTTCTGTTTGATTATTACCGTAGTTAACGGCTAATTTTTCCCTTCGACCGGGTTTTTAAGAGTCACCCGGTCCCCAGCAAATTTGTCGCTTACACACAGAAAGGGCTATATTACGCATTTACGCACAGTAAATTTGGAATTTAATTATAATACTACTTCTTACCACAAATCTATCCAACCGTATTATTCACGACTAACATTTGACCCAACGAGAATCGTCAGCATAGTGCCTGATATTTTGCTTGAGCCATACGTTCACACATATTATGTTAGACATTGTATTTACTATTGTTTATAATTTCACGTATTTCTTCATTTCCGTTAATAGTGAAGAATATCTAAAATGTTTCTACTTTGATGCATAAGGTTTATTTTGTCGTGGTTTAACTTGATTTGCCAACAATCACCAAATATGGTGAAGAGTGGCAATCCAGGGAGGCCACTTCATTTCAGAAACGCGTCCCACAATTTGCTATAGCTCTATCGGGACCTGTAATATCCGAATTCAATGCAAAACTATTTTCACCTATATCAATGGAACACTTTCACGCGCATGTTGGTCAAAATGAAAGGAACGATACACTTGGTCAAACTCACTTGCGTAACCAACAACGGCGTAACAATCGGTCTGCGGTACATGTAACGCTATTATAATCCCCACCTAGTTTGAAAATGTGGAATCGACAACCACACTCTGAAGAGTTACTTACATGGTCTCTTCTACTGTGGGATTCTTCTTGATAAGGTGGCTACGGATTAGGACTTAAGTCGGAAATTTTGTTAACGCTTCGTAAGTCAGATACCCCGGCGGTTACCACAAGTAATATATGGCTGGCGGTATCTGGTTTCAAATTTGCCTTTTACCGTTGCCTCCATAGGCGGGCCACAGGACGGCTGCGCATAGAGAGTGAGCATGAGTGACTTGCGCTGTACCACCCCCCAGCTACATCCATACACCCTATATACAGTGAAAACTGATGGAGTACGACCAGGAGACGTATGGTTGCTAGCCAAGTTTTATAGATGTAGCCATCCCACTCTCCTTCAAATGGTAACGCAGATCCATTCATGCATAACTGCGAAACCATACAGACCAGAGGATCATGAGGCGGTGACGCGACCATAGCTTGTTTCACGTTGGATGTATGTAAGCACAATTCGAGCACAGCACCGTCACTTGCAAAGTGCACCCCGTCCACTCCAGTGACGACCTATTGTCTCCTGGAGCCAGTATAGTCCAGTCGGTGGGTAATAGACATTCACTTTCAAATCAATCGCAGCAGCACCGAGGATATCAAGCAAAATGGAAACCATGAGACGCAAGTACCTGAACACACAAACTCAAGTAAAGACCAACTGCATAGGTGATGCGGCACTCCTACCACGTTGGCCGCATATTTTGCTTGGGATAAACAGTTGAATGGTAGCGGGTGCATCGCCCATACCTATCGCTGTGCTGAATGGGCTTAGGAAGCCAGTTGGCTCGGCATCTTTTGGACGCTGACCTCTCTTGTCCACGCTAGTGGATTAGCATAATTGTTTGGCTCAGGTACTGGCGACCACATATGCTACAACAACATGTGCTCGATGGCAGCCTAAAATCCATCAACTTCTGTCTCTTCCGTACCCGGCGTTTCTCCTTCTCATGCGACAGTGCATACTCATTCATCCCGCCACAGCCGGGACACTCGTCGTTTCGCAGATCAGGAAGATCTCTCTGCATCTCATCCAGTGTCGGTGTGTTGACAATGCAAGTCTTACTCTCTTGTTATTGCAGCCGATTCACCTTGGTCCATTCAATGTCTGAACGTTTGCTCAAGTGACACTAGTAGCTCTTTCGTCAGAGCTGCAATATAGCTACAGTCTGTGTAGAGGTATGGTCTGAACTATGATGCAGTAACATCCTGCCCGACTGCAACTTTAGTACATACACTGCTTTCGAGGAGTCACCTAATTCATTATACTGGCGGCTTTCGGCGTAGCTTTACGTCTAGTTCGCCTTCACCGTCCACCATGCATTCTTAATGCGACTGAGACCTAGAGCCAATCGCCGTTGCATTTTGCGAAACTGGCTATCCTTCTCCGAGTCGGCAGTGTCTTCCACATTCGCAGTGAAAGCTCATTTCCTCGCCGACGCCAGTACGACAGTGGTCGCACCGTTATCATCAAACCAATCGGGTCGCCAACAGTTTGCATTGGCGATGGTTTCTTCGGAAGCAGCAGTCACCTGTTCACGGGTGCAGTGCCATAAGTCTCTATATGAGGCAACTGATTCGACATCAACAATGCGGGTATCCATTGCTCTCTCTAATTCCATCCTCTTCTCTACTGAACCTAGGGAAAGAACGTTAAGTTTGCACCGATAAGCGGCAGGAGTGCAATACATAATTTTACCCAAATAAATACACAATTTGATCCTCAACAATTCGTGGTCAGTGTCACAATTCGCCCCACATATAAAAACTGTCTTGCGCGGGTCACTCTAGCCTACAATGACATGGTTGAGCAGCTGAGCGTGACCACACCGTAGGTGCGTCCAAGTAGCTATTTCATCCGTACACAGTGCAAACTGTGTGTTCGTGAACGTCGGACGAAGAGTAGCGCACAAGGAGAACAACCGATCACCGTTCCCATTGGATGTGCCAATTCTATATGGATCGATTACGTCTGTCCACACCAAAGCATCTCGTACACCGCGCGCGCAGAAGTCACCCAGCACGCATAGTCGATCGATCCTCGGCACAGGCCATACTACAGAGGATAACTGAGAGTAAAACTAAACCAGCTTGTCAGCAGAATAAAACATGGTGTGAAGATACGTGCCTATTAAAGTGGCAAACTTGCAACTTCTAAGTCGCAGAAGGAAAGTCATCCGTCGTGGGATGGTTCCAGTGGACTTTGCCGCAAGCTGGCCATTTGCGACGTCGGACAGTGCAAACTGGACCCATGTTTGCGTGGTGGTGTGGTGGCCTTCACGTCCCAGTGGAACGTGTAACCAGCGCCAGTAGTATACCACGGTCAGCGAGTAGAGTCTCGTTGAAGCAGCAAAAGCAGTTCGTATTCAGACACAACTGTGTGCGCCCATATCTAAAAAATACTACCATCTATACGGATAAAGCTGATGAGAGGTTTCGCAAAAAGGTATTTTATGTTTAGCCCACACCAGCTCAAAAACATTGATTCCCAATTAATTGCTTTATTACTGACATTACGGTGTAGCACATAGTATTTTAATTACCAAGTTAGTGATATCATAACCGATTTGCGTTATGTTTCTCTTCTCCAGGGCCTCCTTTGTTTCCGCGATTTTGTCCGCCTCGTCCAACTGGAAGTATAAGATAATTTCCCCTTTCACATGTCCCCGGTGTGGACCGGTTACAGCGCAAGTGAATTTGTTATCGTGCGAGCTTTGCTTGGTATTTGCTTCCTTCTCATACTAGTCGATGAAAGCAGCCAGAGAGGAAAATACAATATTCTGATTACCACGATAAAAAGAAAATTGAATTCATGCCAAGTTGTACGTGCTGCGCTCGCCAAATGTCACCGCAACGATCAACAGTCTATCAACTTACCGTATTCAATAAATGAGTTGATAAGACACGTCATAGCTTTTATATTAACCGATTGTATGCAATATAGTCTACTGCGTCAATAACGTGACAACTATTATCTTGTGTGTGTTCTGCCAATTCAAGATTGGTGGTTGGACAAATGGTAGAATTGTGTTGACAATTGCCACATATTTTCAGCTCAGATGTACCGATTACGCACAATCAAAAAACTAGTGATTACTATCAAACAAATTGGGATTTAAGCAACGTTGCTTATCAAATGTGTTTGCTGACGGGACTGTTATGATCTGCGAGTTAACGGTGCCTTGCAAGCAATTGCAGTGGCTCAAGAACGCTACTAGGGCACCGCCGTCTTCCAAACCTCGTGAGTCACCCCGCTTAGTACCACGGCGAAATGTGTTTACAAATGCACTCCAAACCGTTGCTTACTTTCGAGCAGGTCGCTTCAGCAATATGCATCACCTCGGTTGCACTACCATATACGCTGTGCCATTCGCCCGTTGAATCATCTCCGACGAATCTCACGGCAATTCGGATGACTAAATTGGATTGACAACATAAGGAATTCAAGGATACAAAACCTCTTGTAAAATGTTGAATGTTGTCTTTAGGGTGTAACAAATGCTCTTGTTTGGCGGTGAAAAAGGTATAGGTGCGTTTGGTTGCTTGCACTTTTCATTATTAACTATTCATGGTGATGTACCAAGCACACAATCTTGGCGAAAACCGCTGATAGGTTGTTCAAGATGTTTTAACGCCAATGTGGTGACCATAGTCCTAATACAGGGAATTGAGCGACGTTCAATCGCAAGAGTAGTCAGCTGTGTTATACTGCCCATTTGGTGAATGATGTGAGATGTGTTAATTAGTATGGTTGCGTCAGTTCCCACGGGCTAACTTCAGTCCTCTTTTGTGACTGCGGTGGCAGTCACTCAGCGCAGAACCGAGAGTAAATGAGGAATAGTGTACTTTTCGCTTACTTGTGTAATTTAGTAGCCACTGTTTGCTGTGAATCTCGCTATGGTTTAATAACTTACTCGTCTGACCTTGGTTGTTGACAGCGTCTACGAAATAATGGAGAACACAGATTGCTTGTCAAAAGGATAAAACATAAAACAGATATATGCTCATCTGACGGTATAGTTAGATCAAATTAAGTGTGACAATAGACACTGCCATCGTATTATTTAATAGCTGATAACTTCGGAATATCTGATACACTGATGAATTACGTTAATAGTTAGTGCAACGCAATTATTTTATGAAGATGTGTGACGTAAGAAAACGTAAGGTTTTCAAAATACATTTGAACAATTAACATGAATTTACCGAACGGTTGTTGAAGGTTTAAGCCCATGACGTTTAAGTTAGTCATCCGGTCTTCACACTCCCCAAACAATTCCGATGCAAATTTGTGTGATTCAACCGATCCTGTAGTCTCTAGGTTGACAATGATGTGATTCCTTCCGGGTCGGCCAGTTAATGAAGAAAGACTACATCTAATTGTATCGTTTTTCCCTCCTATGTTTGATGAAATTGTGGCCCGGAGCTGAAATCGCATGACAAATAAAGCTTTTCGGTGGGTATTGAGTTAAAAGTTTAGCCCACATAGCGCACACCTCCAAACATGAAGTCGCTATTTGAATCACGGTAAAAGATTAGCCTTAATTAGTTAGAAAACTCAAATTCTTCATAGGTTAATTTTAAGTTCATGCGATTACTATGAGCCTGTGGACAAGAATTCAATGCAATGCCTTTTACCTTGCTGCAAATATCCTCCAAATGGGTACCAGCTGAAAGGCCTTCAAATTCCTTTTTACTTGCAAATGGTAACGTATTGCCATCTTTCAGGATTATTCCTGTTATTGATATGACTGTTAAGACAAGCGAAAATGACTTATACATTGCAAAACGGACTATTTTATAAATTTATCGTGCAGACAAGAACTGTTTATTTTCATGAAAATTATCAAGACATTTTGATGGAAACAATAATTTAGTCACAATCGACCCATTGGAGAATATAAACTTCAACGAACACTGGGTTTAGAATGGTCGGTTGAAGATATACACTCTACTAATGCTAACTCACATTGTAGACGCTTTACTTCGCATGGTACAAACGTAGTTGCTGTTGAACGAAAGAGGTAAAGTCGATAAGGATTATGTTATAGAAACATTTGCCTTCCTAGATTAGTCTGAAAGGAATTAACGCCGAATGTCTACGTAAGTTGCTTAGACCGCCGTATCGGTTTCTCTAAATCGGTGAATTTTGAAAGCCATGCACTTGAATGTGCATGAATTTTCACTATCCTAGCGATTACTTAGGCGGTCAGCGTTTGAATATTATTTTCGTTTTGCATATATGTATAGTTCACTCGGGTTTAAGGACACAAAGCTTAACTGCAATGAGCAGCTGATTCTAACAAAACATTTCTGTTTAATAAAGGAACAACCTATGTGTCAAGGCGTTCATTTACGTTAATCGCATGCTGGGCACCTTTTGTGATGTGTACATAATACTTAGGCAGATAATAAGCTGCATTATGTTTTTACTACTAGTCTAGTAGTTGTCGAATGAGATTAGTTGGTATGCATAGAATACGCAGTTCGCTGTTGGAATATTATCATTAAACAATCCGCACCGGAGGATAAAATGCAGGCTCAAATTACATCATGAAACATACCAAGGAGTAGTAAGCATTGTGAAGCAAACATTACAGCGCTTAGGCGGTAGTACAATTGGGTTGTGATGCTCAAATAAGTTATATATCCGCCACGAGACACTTACCAGACAGGAGCATTTCTAGTTGGAGGATATATGTATCACATACCGAATAATTGGTCCGCTATACCTTTGCACCAATTGGATAGCCGACAAGACCAATTTGTTACACCCGTATGTGGTACGTCAACCTGATTGGCGGCGGTGGATTTGTAAAGTTTGGCGGTGCTTAGCGGAACGTAAGGCGGTCCGTGTTCATCAACTTGGCTCCAGATTGTTTAACGGTGGTCTTTCCGCAACAGCCGCATAAGCATCTCACAAAAGAAGTGAACGCAGGAATTGCGCCAGCTGTGTTTAGGCATCCGCTTTGTAGAATACTTCGAAGCACCTTAAGATATTGGCAGGAATTTTTGTCATATTTTGTGGCTAGCCATCTATAAGTGCATACTGCATCTGTACTAGCTCACTCTCTATCGAAACGAGGAAATTCGAGTAAAACTTGTGTACACCAGTTTGATGGGAATACATGGAAGTATTAATAGTAGGCTTATGCTACCATCAACTGAGAAGTTCTTTGCGTAGGCACACATAATTTAACACTGAACCAATGCAATGCTTTATGCAACATAACAAGGCAATATCATATTTGGATATTAGAGTATTGCACTGGATTACAAGAATTGACATTCCCCATCTGCTGAAATCCGGCGAGGCGAGGAACGAAAATGGAAGCCAGTAATTTTGTCACAGCTGGCGTCAGTCTAATGCCACTGTGGTTAGCCCAGTCAATGCGACCGCCCTTCCTGTATATTGCCACTATTACCGATTTACTCCTAAGACCGGATAATCTACACGATCTCTTGGTGGCTCTTCTTTGGTGTTGCTCCAGGGTACGAATGTCACGTTAGAAATAAGAACGCCAGGTCTGAACGGCATATTCAAAGTGGGGCGAATATACGAGTCAATCGTCAAGAGTATCAACCCTCGATCAAAGTCAGCGATAGCTTGCCTCAAAAGCCTCAAGTTAAAGTTCGCTGCATTTACTGCTTTCAAACAGTTTGCCGAATTGCGAAGAATTTTTTATACGATGACAACTAAGTCCCTTCCACTGGTCACGTGTTACAGGAATTTGTGGCTCCAAAGGATGTGCTGATGAACTTGTTGCGCAGTGTCGGTATGTGACCTTATGCGAGGTATATGAAAGGCATTTCATTGCTTCCCATTCCTAAGGTTCTAATTATGGGACGTTGAGCGAATGGATACATGGTATTATCATCTGTAAATCATTGCATTGGAGTTAGGATGCTTGCTTGGTGGCCATTGATTTAGACTGAAAATATATTGCGTTCTAGAAGGACCCTTCCTGAGAACTAATGGAAACGCACAGGATTTGGAGTATGCGTCGAATAATTTTATTTTGGCTGTTCTGTAGTGTAGGTAACCATGCAGACAGGTGAGCAGGGATCCGTTGAACTCGTATGCATCAGCCTTTCTGAGAATAGATAGATGATTGACTCTAACCAAATAAGTAAATAGCGTCGTAGTAAATAACGTATATATAATCTTCTTCACAACCGCGTTGGTCCAGGAGTCCCGGGCTAGTAGCAGGTTGGTGCAGCGTGATCGCCCACATCTGAAACCATGTTCTGCATTGAAAATAATTCGCAGATGCTTAATATATCGCATCAGTTCCTCTGCGATCACCATCAGATTTGATAACAGATAAAGGAGATTAACAACTCGGTAGTTTACAGGAGCTGACCGCTTACCTCCTTCGCACATCGGAGTGATGACGGCGATGTACTTGTATGACGGGAATGTAGAAGAGTCAAGCAAAACTGGAGAAAGGTGCAAGATATACTGTCAGAATAGGACCGTTTTATGTACCTGTTTGGAGATCCAGTAGATTTCCGAGGCGTTGTTCCTCGGTGGGACTGTACTTTAACTGCAACAGCTGCTGCGGTAAGTGTGATACTGGTGAATTAGGCTACAGTTGCTAGGAATTGATAGGGCGTAGATTCCACGATGTTTGAAGCCACCGAGCCAAACGGCTGGAGCAAAGCATTCGCGGTATCCACAGCAGTAGTCATTAGGCCACTGGCTGTCTTGATTGCTCTATTCCAGTCATAAACTTGCTTCTGTCATTTACATGTCTGTAAAGAAGTTTGGTGTCAGTTGGAAAACTTGGGTACCATGGTCTTCTGCCATTCGTAATTGTCGGGTCTCACGAGTGAGGCGCAGCATTTTCCGGTTGCTTTGTAATTACTCCATATAATATCACATAGGCTTAGTGCACGTCCACACTAAATATCATCTCTCCTGTTGATTTATTCATGCGATCTGCTTCAGCTTCAGTTGTCAGTCGGGTGCAGTATTCATAACGGTATAAGCAAGATAAGTTTACTTTTCAATTTATTCCACGATTCATCCGCCGAGCTTTGTGGTTTGAAGTTCAAGCTAGCCGTTGTCTTTAGGTTCTGAAGCTTGCAATGGTCAGTAAAATTTTACTGAAGAGTACTTTATCAACAACGTTGAAATAACTCACATAACCAAGTGTGAGAATTGGATGCCCGAGGCTACCTATTGGAGGAGTTTATGTAACTGATTCAACCATCAGCTCTTTATTAGTCAGGATTAAGATCGGAACTGCTGGCTTTTTTGAACCACGGTGTCTGGTTAGTAAATGCATTTGGTTATACAAACTGCTATATTCATGAACTCAAGATTTTTGCTTTAACTATGAGCTCACTAGGGGGCTTTGTTACTATGGAAGGTATGTTGAAGTCGCCGATTAGAATGTAAGGCGAGTACATTCTTGAAACAGTGTAGTGAAGAGCGTTTACTAGTGTCAATGCTGTCTGTGTAAGAATTCGGGGACCTATAGACAAACGCTAGGACGTAAATCCACTCATCATCTGAGGTCTATCACCTCCAACTGCTGGCTGCAGTCGGCAAAATAGTGCTTCGGGAATAACAAAAGAATCTCCGGAAAGTACAATGTAATTTAGGCAATCGCGGTAGTAGATGATAACATCGACACTGCGAGGTAAACGCTAATTCATACTGGCTGATTGTTCACTGAGTTCAATTTCGGGATCTAGTATCTTTTGTGAGCCACGTTCTAGTCACTGTTTCGATCTCCTAAGTTATTATTCTTGTTTACTGTGCATTTCTGGAAACTTTCTATGTATTTCCTGAAAATTAGTGTAACAGCTTGGTATTTGTTGACGTATTAGGATGTCGGTACACATTGTTTGAACGTAACAAATAGTATCCTTCTGTGGGGGTTTCTTGATACGTGTGCTTGTACGGTTGCCTGATTCAAGGTAGGAACGCTCGAGTTTGGCTTACCTGCCTATAGCGCATAGAATATTTGAAGGAACGACCTTAACCACAACTCCAGTGGTACATATTTTCTGTTGTTATGCAACGCTTGTATCATCATTTACACCATCTCGGGCGTAGCCAAGGTAAATTTCAAAATGTTTAACCCGTGCGTAGGCAAAGTTGGGATGCAGTTAGAAGGATGAGCACAAATTCAACGATATTTTGCATGGTGTACAGCTCTATGATATGCCATCACTCTTCATTGTCGTGTTTTGTCGTCCACTGTAGTTGTTATGCTTATAATCTGGCACAAGACCAACCAGTACCACTTTCTCCAGATTGTTTTGACGCAGCGCCATCAGTTCGGAGTTTCCCTTATATTTTTCTGTCCATGGTTTGTCAGGAAAAATGTGGGCATTGACAAACTAACTCACTAAAATGGAGCCTGCTGAACGGACATTTTGCAGGTCCCGTGTGTTGCCAAATGTTAGTTGCAGTAACCCAGGTTC